GAGGAATAAAGCAAGATGAACAAAGGAATATGCAGCTGCCGTCATGCAAACACGTGGCCTCATTCTTGCTTCTTTCTGTGTTGGTAAAAAGTGTAACGCTGTAATTAGGCTAATGACCCAAAGCTGAATTTGCATCAAATTTCCATTTTGATATAAATTATATAACCATAACACGTTGGGCCTTACCACCCAGAATGTGCAGGCATTTAAAACTAAACCACACACTTAAAAATAAAAACGTTTAAGACAGGATTTGTAGTTAAATTCTGTTATGCATGTAAATCTTAAAGAAAAGGCTACGCCAAATTAAATGATCAAACTAAAAGATAAGTCATTGAAATGAACTTGCATTAAAACCCTTCAGGAGTCAGACTCCTATCAGCCCTGGATTTAGGCACCACGTGTTCAGTCCTGCTGTTTCTGCTCCACATCTGTATGCACTTACACTCTGCATGAATGTGAGTGGAGCTGTGAGTCACTGTGCTGGAAGAGGCATTCTGCCTTCAGCGCCAAGCAAAACGTCCAAGCAGATGAACAACCACGTGCATACATACATACATATACATATATATATATATATACACACACATACACAGTGTCCTTAGCCTAACCCTCTTTGGAGGTGGAGGGGGGTTACATCCAATCCTTGAGCTTGTGTTTTATGTAACACTACTAGTGCTGTCAGTCTAAACTAGCGTGGATTACACACCCTGCCAGACGAGTCACCCTGTCGCACTCAGGCAAACGGTTTTCTGAAGAGGAATGCAGCGTTTGTCGTGGGGCTGCGACTCACTGTCGGATCAGCATGACGTTTTATCAATCACAGATTTCACAGAACGGCAGATAGAAATGTTCTACTTGGACACTAACACTAGAATAAAATATTTTTTGTTTAACTTTACAGAATTGGTGAGGCTTTTAAACCAAATTTAGAAGCAAAATAAATTGGTTATGAAAAAGATCTAGATTTGATAAACATGGGGTCCTAAAACGTAACTCATCTATTGATACCACTTGTTGGTTGATTGTGATTTTGTCAGTCATAATGCGGGTGCCAAATTTTGCAAAACCACTTCTTAAAAACCAAAACCTCCTTTCATGTGCATGACTTTGAAAGTTGAGTCATAGGTCAGACATATGGTTTGATCGATCTAATAAGCCGCTGCGTTCTTTTGTTGTTTTTTTGTTGTTGTTGTTTTTTTTACATTTTTTATAATAAATCCAAACAGTTCACTGTTACTGTATATGACCTTTTCTTAAAAACTGGTTGTTAAACACTAGGTTGTTGAAATACAAGCACAGATTTAAAAGGAAGGAGAACTTCTGTATGTCTTGTTGATAAACTGTATTTAAATATATGTCATGAGTCCAACTATCACTGAAACATATCAAAATAAAGCACAAATGTAAGCGCATCTAGCATTTTAGCCACCAGAGGAATGGAAGTTTATTGAAATTTTGAGGTGATGGTTGGGTCAGATAAATAAAAAATGAATGAAATAATAGAGACTCAATAATTCTCTGGCTGGGAAAAAAAAATTAGTGGTGTGAAATATTTGTTTTAAAGTCAAATATCTTTCTCCAGAAGAAATCATTTCGGATTAAACAGTTTCCCTACGTTATCCCAACCATGAGGTTACTTTTACAGATTATATAACCAGCGTCTAATAGGAACGTTCCTGGCATAGGACCCACAACTCGTGTTTAATTTTAGCCTTTGGCCCTTAGTGTTCACCCCTGGGACATAAACACAGTCATTACATTTACAGGCTTGTGACGGCTGGAGGAAAAAAAAAAGTTTGCAAATAAAAATCAGACATAAAGTTAACAATTTTTTTTTCATCTAATTGTTAAAGAATAATGTATCTGCTTTAAGAGTTTTAAAACTAAGTTTATAAAATGGTTGGAAATGCTTCGTGGATGCGGAGGAGGCTAAGTTTGTACAAGGATTTAAAAAAACAAAACACCAACAACAAAAAAGCAAGGGAGGGAAGGAATTCCAAAAATCCATCAGACAAGATGTCAAATGAGGACAAACAGTGAGAAGAATGAACAAAAGGAAGTAGTAAACATGCAGAAAACAAAAAAACAAAGATGGACACAGAAAAAAGCATCAAAACAACAGAAGTTGATAGGAGAAAATTACAGGCTGCAGAGGAGAAATGTCTCAGAAGAGACCACTGGTCTTGGAGTTTGTCCCTGTTGAGCACTGCCAGCACGCTGCAGCAAACACGCACAAACAAAAGGATCATTTATTGGAAGAGGAGAGGGGGGGAGGCAGGACGCAAAGGATGAAAAGCAGGGGGGAACACTGTACGGAGGCATTTGAGAGTAGTGTGAGTGAAACACTGGCCCCATCTCAAAATTCACAGCCAGCGTGTAACAAACCACCCCCTCCATGCTTCCCTGTGAAATTCTCAGCCACTACAAACCATGCTACCATTTTAATGAAACAAAAAAACACTGCTTTTACCAGCAACGCAACAATAAATCCAACACGTTGATGCACGGAAGCAAGCCGATTGTTAATTTCCATCCCAGAAATCTATAAAAGCCAACTGTAGAGCTTGGCTTCCCTGCACCACACACACAGTCACACACAAACCGCAACAACCCCCGTATGAATATCTAGCTAATGCTTTAAATTCCTCATTAAATCCGTCTGTGGAGCAGAGCTATGAAATGTTTACCACAAAACTTCCAAGAGCTTTTAATTCCAACAAGTTAGGGAGCAAATCACGAGAAAAGCAACTTAAGGCCACGGTGTGAAAGGTTACAGAGTGTTTCACTGACACACTTATATCCAGAATCTCCATTTTCATTCTGCTCTATCTGCTTTAACTGCAAGCATTAATTTCTTAGATGGGACCCATCATTTGGTGCAGACAGCGGTTCAAAGAGAATGTTTCTTCTATGACGAAACGTCTAGCGGAGGCTTAGCTTAGTCATTGTTTAACAGGGGTGGTCCTGCAAAGGATAGAACAGTGCGCCTTACAGTTTGAATGAACACAACAAAATTGAATAAAGCGGATGTGGTTGCAGGAAATGAAAACATAAACGTCATTGATTGCTACAGGAACCATATACATTTCACATACATTCGTTTATCCCAGTCTTTGTCAAAAGGAAGATTTTATCCCACAAAAAGCCTTAATATTTTTGACCAAACCTTTGTTCAAAACCAATTAATAGCCCATATTTGACAAAATATCAATATGTTTTCAGACATTTAAGTTTCTTTACTAAATACACTAATATCAAATTAAAATAATGTATCAAACCTATTGTTGTAACACTTCAATAAAGCTGGTGAATCCCAGTGTTCCTGATCATCCCTGAGAAACTTCTGCAACCTAACTAAACTGCGCGCTGTACAAAGTACAGCTGATTAGGTTAATGCCATATAAAGTCTAAAAATTGGCAGTATTTTTAAATGCAGAACAAGGGGGGGAAGAGGAACTGTCTCTGGAACTCCTAGAGTAACCCCATTGATCACTAAGGTGGTGCAGCAGTGTTCCCTGTAGAGAGGAGGAACATGCCAAAGTCACCATTGCTAATGCACCAACTAGGTCTTAAGAGAAGGTTTTTTTTAGTCTACAAGAACCATCTGGTTTGAACTCTTAAAGTAATGTCTGGAGAAATACACTACATAACACTCCCCCAATCAAACTTCCCCACAGGACAATAGACATTAAGACTAAGCCTTAACTTAAGCATGCTAATGGACTGAAGCATACAGCCAGGAAAGAGTAGCTTTAAGAAGAATATGTGACTGTCCCTGAGTGGACTGAAATATGGTTAAACATCTCTGGAAAGACCAAACATAGCTGATTCCCTAACCTAACTGAGACTGATGGGATATACAGAGGAAAATCATGAACAAAATCCCAAAACAGGTGTGTCAAGTTAGTACAGACACACCCAAAAAGACCTTTGTGGCTCTAAATGTTTTTGAAACACTGGAAATATTTGCCAATTAAACAATTGCACATCGTTTTGGATTTTGCTTCACCCCGTTATGTTTCTTTCTTAACAAAATATTATTAGATAGGAAAATTAGTCTCATCTGATGCTGTACTCCAGCCTCACAGTGGGGCATTTTACATTGACAATACCGAAAGCAGGCTCAGCTTAACTGAACATGAAAGTACAATGCTTGTATGGAAAGACTGAGTGGTTCAATTTGCTACCGGTTGCATGTATGGATGATGTCTGTATAACCTTTTCTTCTCTTAACCCCCCATCCACAATGACTCAACTGGAGCAGAATAATTCTTAATAATTGCTTCTCATATATAAGCAGTAAAACAAAATTACATATGATCCCCAACAAGAAAACTTAGGATTTCAAGGATATAGATTTTCTCACTGGTTTTCTGACTTGACTCATGCATGTATTGTTTAAAATCATCGTCCTGCACAAACAAATAGTACATTAGGGCAAGGGAACCAATGCTGAAGGAGCCAAACAAGGTATTTATTGCATGTATATTGGATAGTCTTATGAAAGCTCTCTATATTGAATTCTGCTTCAGTCAAGTTTTATTTACAAGCATTGCTCAAAGAATCTAAAAATCCTTATCTTGTGCTCAGACCAAACACAATTTGACCATCAAGAGCATTTAGTTCACATGCAAAGTTGATGGTGGACATGCCTCAATGGGCTTTAAGACGTCTCACGATGGGTTGTGATGCTTAAAACGTGTGAGGGAAGCAATATTCTTAACACTCTCATTCTAATCCACCCAAACCAGACGTCATTAGACGTTGGTTTTTGGGCTAAATCTGGTCGGTCCTGATTTAGTCCTGAAATAGTTGTTGAAAATTGGGCTACCGGTCTTACTTTGTCCCACTTTATTCCAATAATGAAAACATGTTGAGTCTTTTAAAGGTCTTTTCAACCAATTTTTGCTTGGCAGGACAGCAAAACACGGAGCAAATGGTTAGGAGTGAAAGGGAAATTATGAGACAACTATATCAATAAGTGTTAAAACTCTTACCTGTTCCCTCTTTGTTCCCGTTTGGATGTGTACGTAGCTCCTCTGATTTGTAGAAGTCGATGCTGGCATACGTATTGAGGCTTGAACTACTGCTCCCACCAGCTGCTGCCCCCATTACCCCAATCGTGGAGCCTGAACCAAGAACAGAGAAGTGTCGAGATTGGGGCTGCCCTCCTGTGGCACCTTCCAGGCCAGCATTTGGACTCTCTTTGTTAACCAAGTCCAAGTCTATGTAGTTAAGACCTTGCTCTGTGGATGATGTCTGATTGCTTGTAGGAAGTGACTGCTGTGCAGGAAGTGGAAGTTGAGTAGGAGCATCTGTGACGGCACCGTTCCCCCACAGCATGCTCTCAAAACCAAGGCGGCGTGCAACAGCCTGGGTATGCTCTGGGAAGAGGGAGGCAGTTGAAGAAGAAGTAGAGGCAGACGTGGATAGGGAGGGTGTTGCCACAAAGGTTTCTGAGCAGTGCCGCCTACGTCCTTGGGGGTCAGCACGGATTACCTTAGCACCCTGATCTGGGTTCAGTCCTGTTTTGCCTAAGGTAAAGTCTAGACCCCGAGAGAGCATTGAAACTGAAGAATCGGCTCTTGTGGGAGAGGGGACCTGGGGGGACATACTAGGTGATGATCGAGGGGCAGTGTTGTTTTTCAAGCTGAAGGCCATCTCTGTGTAATCCCCACAAGATGTAGGAAACTCTGACTCACTCACTGAGGGAACACTTTCCCTGCTTTTCCTAGGAGGCTGTTCAGGCACTACAACAGCCACTTCACATAAACTAGCAGCAGTGTCCTTGCAGGTTTTAGGGGCATGGGCAAGGGCTGGAGGTGTGGGAGGGGTATGGAAAGGAGGGAAAATTAACTGGGTATTGGAATGGGGCGAAGGGGATGGTGAAGGCCCGAGATCCATATTTACATACTCCGAGGGAGTGGGTGGAGAGACTGGGGCTGAGGGACTACGAGACAGTAAGACAGTGTCTTCTGAAGATGAAGCTAGTCTGTTTTGAGGATGCTGGTTAGTTGAGCCATGATTCATCAATGATCCATGTCTAAGTGCTCTGCCTCGCCCACTGGCAACTCCCTTATATTCAATGCTTACATACTCCCCAGGGCTCTTAGGTTCAGGGGGTAGAGGATTCTCACGGACTCTTGGAAGAGTGTTAGCCTTAGAAACGTCTACAAACAGACTTACTGGTCTACTTCTAAAGTGATTACCTTGTTTTGTCATCCCACCAGAACCCCGTCTCTGAGAAATCTTGCTCCCCTCTTTGGACTGAGACCCACATGTCACATTACCGGTCGCCTGATTAGTCCTATCATCGCTCTCACCAAGACTCTCACTGCTAGCTGAGCTGGAGGAGTATGAGGACGAAGAGAGTGATTGATGCTGCCCAACACCTGGACTGCCAGTTGGCTGCTCTTGATGCCCACCTAAGTTTCTACCGCCCCCCACTCCCCTGCTACAGCTGCCATTGGGACGTCGACCTCGTCCAGGCCCATCATCAAAAAGCCCAGAAGTGGGGTTATGCTTGTACGACCTGGGAAGGGAGTAGTAAGAATAGACCATTTTTGGGGGCTGCTGTTGCAAACTGGTCTCCAAATGGCAAGTGTGTTCATTGGGTGGGGGACTGCCGTTTACAGAAGGCACACTGATTGGAGACATATTCATGTAGTCGCTACCAGCCCTGCTGTCAGCACTGCCAACCCATGTGCCTTCAGAGAGACTTCCACGCTGGTCAGGGGAGCAGCTGCTGTTGGGTGACATTATCATATAGCCATCAGCCACTGGCAGGGGACGAATCTGCTGTGGGGGTGACACGCTGTTGTTGGGGGTCATGGCCATATAGTCATCAGCAGGCTTGGAATCTGATTCTGGAACAGAGACGGTCATTGTTTGACATGAGGAAACAGGAGGCTGAGTGACACCTGGTAACATGGACATATACCCATTATCAACCCCAGCAACTGCTCCTGGACCAATGTCACTTTTTAGCTCTCCGGCTACATCCAAGTACCCTCCTCCCCCTACAGAAGAACCCATGGTTGATTCCCTTTGAGTAGAGGAACAGGTTGATGTGAAGGACTCCCGACTGGTGCTCCTTGACATAATAGCATAATCAGCTGAATCTTCATCTGCAGGTTCTTCAGCTCTGCGCTGATGTGGAGCCAGTCTTTCCAGGGCCATAGGAGGCAGGGAGGCACGCTTGCTCAGAAGCCTTCTTTCAGCCTCACATTCACGGCTAGATGAACGTCGTAGCACCCGCCTAGTCTGGGGAAGTGAGCCATTAGTTGGTGTTCCTGGCACAGGCTGAGAGCTGGATGTAATGTTGCTTTGACTATTGTTGCTTACACCAACGCTGCTCCCACTACATTGGCCCATCATGATGTAGTTTGCTCCGTCCTCGCCAAGGGACTGGCTGCCAGTGCTGCTGACAGAGCTTCCTGGTAGGCTCTGAGAGGGAAGAGCTGTGTGGTCCCCAGGACTGGAACCATACTCATCAGACGAGCCATAATCACTTGGTGAGCATGAGACTGAGGTATGATGTGAGGGTACACGAGTATAAGCGCCAGACCCTGCAGCAGCACCGGCAAATGGGATGCCTCCAAACTCAGATCCGTGCCCAGAGCTGGATGAGAGACTAGGGGCTGGTGATGGGGCCGGGGTCGAGATGGAGCGCATCAACCCAAAAGGAGTTTTAGCAGCTGTTGTTGGGACTGAGCGGGCAGACTTTGACCTGAGGATTGGGGTCGTAGAGCAGGAGCCGTTGTTAGAAGGACTTGAGTTTACACCATGGAGTGGAGTGGAACTTGTTATCCCGTCCTCACTTTTTCCCCCATCACTGGCGGTGCGTGACCTTGGGAAGCTGTGTCGAGGTGTGGGGGAGGCACTTGAACTGCCTACTCCCACTCCAACAGTGGCACTTAAGGAGGGCTCAGTTCGGGGACGGCGGAGGAAGCCCACCTGGCTGGGAGGAGGGTTGGGGTGGTGCCGACGCGAAGGAACACTGATGGGGTTGGAAGCTGTGGCACCTCCTCCAGGACCAGAATTCGACTGCGACTTACTGCGCTGGCGGAACTCCTCGCTCAGGGCTTTCATGGCCTCCAGCAAGGTTTCATGCATGTTCTGGGCCACCACAGAATCATCCACCTAGGACATAACATATACACTCAAGTCAAATCCTTACAGAAGCAGATATCTTATAATTTTAATACAATTAAATTCTTTTATTTTATTTATATATTAAGAACCAAATCATAAAAAATATTCTCTCCAGCTATATTACAAAGCAAGCAAACACAAACCTTATTTGGCTGAATATTATATTTGATTCAAATTATCCCAATAAAGCACAATCATGTAGTGAGCCTGAGATCTTTACAATCCAGTTAAATTTTAATCAGTTTCACAAAGCCAAAGATAAAATCTAGTTTTGTAAAAAAGTTAATCCAATACATTTAAGAAAGCCTATTTTAATGCATTGAATTTTTGACTTTGCGGCAACCCCTCATCCTGAGAAAGCGTCTCAACATTAAATCAACTTTTTTTAGAGCAATGAAGATTTAAACTTTATTGTCATTGCACTGTCACAAGTACAAAGCAATGAAATGAACTTGCTCAGGGACCCAGAGTGGCAGTCCGTGGGAGTGGGGCTTGAGCTCAGAACCTCTGGAACCCAAGCGCAATACCCTAACCACTAGGCCACCACTCCCCTTTTAAATAGTTAGTGTAAGCAGAATAAGATAATGATTAGAGTAGCTGATGCAATTAATGAAATTCACATTTTGTTTTAATTGTTTATAGAGTAAGCTGATTTTTTTTATAAACATTATTTTTGAGTGTGAGGAGAGATTCCAAGCCACCGCAGTCAGGAGATACTTCCATGTGTTTAATTGTGTGTATGCTGCTTACATTACTTATTGGTCAGCTCTTTTTTGCTTCAATGTCTGCCTAACTGTGTAATTACCCGTCTGTTTAAAGCTCCAAAGGACAGAAGTGGTCGAAAGTAGTTCTTAAAGTTGGGTATTGTAACGAGGGAGTCGTGACACTGTAAGGTTTCAGAAAGGGCTTCGTGTATTGTTCCCGACTGGAGACAACACCCAGTAGTAAATGAGGTTAAGGCAAGAAAGATAAAGCTACACATTTTTTTTTATTGCTAACTTTATTACAAGGTCAGAAAGTTTGTCACTCTGCTATAGATTACCTTAAAAGCATATTTAGTGAAATGCAAGTCCAACATTAAGACTCACATTTGCCATAATAAACAGGTTCCTCTGTTTGAATGTGAACTTTGTTAAACCACCCCGATTTAAATATTACTTGAAAAAAATAAATAAATAAAGTTATATGCACATTTAGACAGTAATTTAAATATTACTTGGAAATGCGACAGTATCAACCATTAGTTAATATAAAATGTCCAGTCGGTGATTTTATGATTATAGTTGCACCATCAGCTGAATTGGGACTTTTACTCTTGAGATGGCTCTTTGCACATATAATTCATACTTGTGCAATTAGCGTTAATATGCAAAAAAGAATAAATGAATCGACTTGTTTAAATGTGGCAACATTTTTCATCTTTTATCCATATTTATTAACTTTGTTGTTTAAGTCCAAGAAATTTAAGATTATGATAGAGTCAATAAATCTGGATTAAGATTATGTGAAGCAATTTCTACCTGGGTTTAAAGAAAACTGGAAAGGTGTGGCTCTACTTTATTGGAAACATGATTTTTAAATCCTATCAACACCTCACCATTCAATCTGAACCACAAGGAAAGTAAAAACAGAACAACTGTCTTAATTGAAAGCTTTTAACAACGCAGGTTGACCCTTTCGGGGTAATGGAAATTCTCTGAATCTGTGATTCTTAATCTCAAAAGCAGTGAACAATACAGCTTTACTTCTCTTTCCTGCATTGTTTAAAGGCCATGGGAGGTCAAATTTTGTTGCGCTCCAAAATATTCTTATGAATAGTATGAATATATGTATTAATGCATTAAACTTAAATACAGACAATAATATAATTGTTCTTTTAAAGGAAAGTTTTTTAAATTTCTCTTGAGTCATAAAAAGTTTCAATAAAAAAGCCAATAGATTAGACAAAAAAAGTTTGACTCTTCTTTCACTAGTTGTTTGGAGATTTGCAACTGGTGAATGTTGGAAGCTAATGCTCACAACTCCAAATTGCATGCCTACCTGCATCCAAAACTCGCCGGGACCCGTCACAGCCGAGCGGCCCACCTCGACAAAGAAAAAGTTTTCTGAATGTCCGCAGCGCCTGACATTCATCAGCTGGAGCACCACAGCGGCTGCGTCGGAGTTCAGCTTCACGAAGTTGACCGTCTTGTCAGTTAGGCAAAGCCGATAGATGCCCACCAGGTTCTTGGCTTGACCTAAGCCTTTAGGCCACACCTTTACCTGCCAAACTTCTTTGAACGCCGGCCCTGGATTAGGCGCTCCATAGTCCCCTGCAGTCGAGCTGTCACTGGGATTTTTACCTTTAAAGACAAAGCACAGACATTAAAGGGTTACAGGAGTAAAAAAAAAATCAAACACAGCGAAGACCAAAAATCAAAGAATATGTTCTTTAATTCATTTTATAATTTACCAAATACAACCACTGTCTGTTGGCAGAAGGCTATAAGCTCTGATAAATAATGCTGTTTTAATGCTGAGTTTATTTTAAATGTGATCTCAAAACAAAACCAGCATGTACCAGCTTGTACTTGCAGGCCTCATATCTGAGGTCCCAAGTCAGGCATCTCAGCACCCTGACACCCACAGCCAGTATGGAAAAATCAAACAGTCGACAGCCGAAGTGCTACAGAAAAACGCTGACTGTGAGAGAAAAGTGCCAATTATGGAGAGTAAAACAGGAACTTCAGCAAACTATGATGGAAAATGCCTCTTATAAAATCTTTAAAAGTAAAGCAAACAATACAAAATGATGATACGCCTCAAATAAAAGCTTCTCTTTAAAGCCCAGTTTCCAGCTATGCGAATGACTGGGCTAACACATGTAGAAGTATAGAGAATCCCCACTCTGTCCTTAGCTGGCTTTGCTCAGACTGTTTATTTAACAAAAGCTGGGGATTTTTTCTTAACATTTTGTTTTATTATTTACACACATATTTTCTGCCTACAGTCACTGTACAGGTCAGATTTCAGAGGTTTAGCGTGTGCTTTTTATCCTCAGGAAGTGCCTTCTCTCCCTCATGCCATGGGACTCGTTTTGATTAGGTTTATGTTTAAGCTGTTTTACATTAACCTACAAAAGCAAACAAGAATTTAAGTTTAAAAAATTATTTTAAAAAGCCTCATATTTTGGGCAAATTGGGCAGCTCCCTAAGAAAAAAAAATCTCTAAAGAAAACTGCTATCCTTCAGGGTGCCACATTTCTTGATATGCTGTTATGTTCCTGGACTGAATATGTCTGAGCATGATGTTCTTTCTGCAGCGCAGGATAAATCAATGTCACAACCGCATGAGAAAAACCTCCAGAGAAACCTGCGTTCTTCGAGAAAAGAGGTTGTTCCGTGTTTATTGGTGTTGAATACTTGTCTTACTGGCCTACCATAACTGGCATGAAAGCGCTGATAGGAGAAGCATTTTCCTTACAGCTTAATGGGTTGTGATTTTAAACAGTTGTAGTGTGAAGAAAGTATACCTTTTTTTGCTTATTAACACCCAACTATCAGTAGTTTTCTTTGGTTATATCTGTCTAGAGGAGGTTCAGGTCTGCTTAGCCGAGCATCTGTCCTCCTTCAGATCATTGCTGTTTGTGGATGTTCTTCTTCTTCTTCATCTTCTATGGTCCTACCATAATAGTTAACTCTAGTCTAGGTCTAGACTTTGACTAGACCATTGTACCTTGATTCTTATTATTTGGTTTTCTAGAAGCATCTCTTCTTTGGTCTCACCTGTCCAAATGGCATTGTTTCAGAACCAGATGGAAACTTTACAAATACTAGTCGTGTTTGAGAAAAGACTTTGATCCTGGTAACCCCAACCTTGGTTTCCTTCCAACCCTTGTGACATGAGGCCCATTTACATTACACTCTGAAAACCGATTTTTGCTGAGCTTGGATCAGTTAACAGCGTCGAACTTCGTTAATTACGACCATTTATACACCCCGCTAGGACAGTTCCTCGCCCCCTAGTGACAACCTATGCTACTACTGCTCTCTTGAGGTAAACAAGAAACCAACGTGGCGGTGCCTGTAAAATTCAGGAAGTTTACAGAGAGTCAGGCAAAGAAGGCAGCCTTTGGTGAATTTACTTGAATTTACTTACTTTTGGTAAAGCCGGGCATACACTGTGCGATTTTTTCAATCGTTGCACGCAGCTACAACTCACACTGTACGACGAAACCGCAGAGTTTCATCATACAGTGTGAGTTCACAGCTCTTGATGTATGTGCAGCATGACGCTATGGTGAGATCTAACTGCTCTCACTGTACGTCTAAAAACCATGTCTGACTCAGCTCCGCAGTGAGATGCCGTTGCTCTGACTCGTCTATCCAGAAGCCAAACAAATAGACGGGAAATCTGAAGCTCACTAGAGTGAAACGTGCTGGCTTGGCAATTTGTGCAATTTTGTGTTGGAAGCCCTAAAAAGGAAAAGGAGACAACGTTTTTGGACAAAGACATGGCTGAGCAAACGTGGCTACTATGGTCTGTCAATTTGCAGACAGAACTCCATTTCACTCATTTCACCCTCGCCAAGTTGCTGTGTTTACATCTGAGAGGAAGAAGAAAAAGAAGAATCCTTGTTTACGCATCCCCACTGAGTGATTTGCCCACGACAGTCGGGTCCTGAGCTCACGATTCCTGATCGGGAGGTGGTCGTGGGAGGCTGATCGCCCCTCGTAACCCCCTGTACACTACATGACTCACGAAGTACAATCAGGCTGAAAGTCGGCCCGATCGAAAAAATCGCTTGGAAAATTGCTCGGTGATGGAAATCGCACAGTTTATCCCCAGCTTTAGTGGATACCACAAACGAAAGTCTAATCAGGGCTTAAAGATACAGGAAACAACAACAGACATTGAGGTTCATCACACTGCTAAGCAGAATCATTATAGGAAATTGTGTGGAAAGGTAGGGAAGCTAGTATTTCTATGAATGTCTATAATTTCATGATTACGGAGCCTGACTGTAAGGAGAAGAAGCGGTCTGCTCATGCGCTCTTTGTTATCTGAGAACTGAGCCTCAACTGAACCATTATGTGACCTACTGATGAACTAGTATCAGTTTAGCGCGGTTCGGTTGTGTCTGCCGTGGTCTGGTTCAGTTGTGCGTTCCATTTACACTCAACCGTTATGTCGCTTACCGTGCTCAGACCGATCTCAGCACGGTTTCAAAAGGGTAGTGTATATTGGATATAGAGTCTAAGAACTACCGGTAAGTAGAGTCTGACATGGATGGGCATCTTTCTTTTAGCTCTTAAAAGTTCTCAAATTCTCTTTTTGATTAATAAAACAGTAGCAGTCCTCTTTGTTGAGGCAATTTCACCATAAATTGCATTTCCATGCTGGTTAAACTAAAGAGAAAGGGTTGTTCTTTATACTTGTTGAAAGAAAGTTTTCTCAAAGGAAGAGTTGGTATTTCTCCAAGTACTGCACATTCTGGCCTTTAGATTAATTTTATATAAACTCCCACTCCTGTCCATATTAACAAATATGACATTTTCCACTTACTTACTGTAGCTTATTGGACTTTAGATTGCTTCTCTAGGATCACAGCTGATACTTTCTAAACTTTGGCATAATATTAAAACGCCACTATGCTCTACAGCAGCAAACTTCTGCAGCAAAAAGTACCTGATTAATCCTACTATCGAAGGTTTTTTTTTTACATTTTGTTTCTGTTTTTTGCCTTTTGGCCCATTTTTTTTTTTTGTCACAAATACTGAAGCTGCTTTTTGTACTTTTGTAGACATGAGATTAGATTAAACTGGTTTGGAAACTGCTAGAAAATAGAACTGGAGGAGGATGTACTTAAACTCTGGAGTAATAATTTAAACTAATCAGACAGCGGGGATTGCAAAATCATGCTTCTGTGTCTGGGTGCGTGTGCCTCTGCTTTCCTCCTGCAATGACAACCATATGCAGACTAGAAGCCCTGCTTACACAGTGGTTTGCGGGCTTCTGTTGTGACAAACATTTTCCAAAAATCCCAATCTAAAAAAAAAACAAAAAAATAATAATAGTGACAGATCTGAGATGTCTAACTGCATCCTCTTTCCATTGCTCACCCCAAAAAAGAAGGGTGAACACAGAACTTAGAGAAGGCTGAGAATAGATGTTTTGTTGAAAGCAAGAGAGGCTGCGGGTTGGTAGCTATGTGTGTGTGCGTGGAGACACTCCAACCTCCTGCATCGGATGACTCACTCAAGGCCAAGCATTGCCGTTTCATGTGCTGCATCTTGCTCCGTTTCGGAAGGAAGAGGCAATCAGATTACCGTTTAGTGAGGACTAAAGAAATAAGGGATCCTATGAGATTTCAAAGAGATGTTTGAAGAACAAGAGGTTGCAGCAGCTGCTGCTCTAGAAAACATTAAACATCTGAAAAGGTTTTTTTTAGCCATGTGCTTTCTGAGATTGTGAGGTAATTTTGCTTTACCGTTGAAAAAACGTATCTTTTGCAGTCGGTGGAGTCCATCCAGAGTTCTGTCTCTTGCAAATTTTAAAAGCAGTGAAGAAATTTAAAGAGGTCTTTCTAGACTCTTGCAGAAACTGATGCACCTCTGCCAAACATCACAGCCCTTTGCTCATGCTTACATAACGCTGGTATTGCTCCAACACAGAGCCACATGAATTATAGATTGCCCCCCCGTAGCTTTCCTCTGGGGCTTTTTTTAAAATGTATTTTTACACAGTTCTATTTGCTCATGAACCAGCAGAAGTCAGTAGAGATACCAGTCCATTTGAATTTTGCATTCAGGTTATCAGCAGGTCGACTTCCGTTCAGCACGACACCACCCCTATAAAACATAATGAGCCCTCAGAAACCAGAACAGCCCTCAGCCCGGAGATCAGGTTGAAGGAAGATGCCGGAAGCGTGTAGAAAACTAAACACATCCACAGGTTAATGGTTTTGCTGGTTGCAAAAAAAAAAATTTAAGCAACCTTCATGTAACCTTGAGGACGTGTTCAAAACAAATTTGAAATCTAATTTCCCTTATTTTCAGTAAGGTACAAACAACCCAGACTGGGTCTATTTACACACCAGCTGTCAGCCGCTATTACAGCATGAATTTTTGGACATATGTGCAGCCTGCATGCCTCATCTGTCTGGGGCAGCAACACTGGTGTCTATTCATGGCCATTTCTATGTCATACTTGAGCTGAGTCCTTTCAGATCCTGAGATTGAGAGGCGATGATCTCCACTGGTTTCTCCAGCTGAGTTCATGCAGCCAGGGTAAAAGCTCTGTTTTATCACATATTAATGCCGCCTTAAACATAAAAAATTGCTTCAACTCAAGGGAGGTATTG